GTCATTTGCAAGGGAAACCATGGGGCTGATATTTACCTAGGTATTTCATATATATTTTGAAATTTGAGTTTTTAATTAACACTTGAGATTAAAATAATTTTAACCCAGGCATCTCTCTAACTTGTGGAATGAATGCATGCTCTCCCTCCTTCTGGACTCAATGATAGCTAACTAGCCTGACTGGCTTAACATAACCTTTTCTCTCTCGTCTTTTACTCTTCTCTCTTTCAGAAACAGCTCAATATGTGACACAATCGTTCTCATTCTCATGGTTCCTATATTTTTGTAGTGATAGTTTCTATTGCACAATAAATACATATTGCAGGATTTGATGATGTTTGGCAAATGGCACACACACAAAAAGACGATACTGAGAGGCAAGGTCAGGGTAGTCTGTCTCCAAAGTTTTCACCATTTGAGTGCCCCCTTTTCTTCCCTCAAATAACCCAGCTTCTTCCAGTTCTTATATTTCCCCTCCACCCGCCCAGTGCCCTAGTCTTATCATTAAATGACTAAGTCACCCCTTTTGAGGGTGTTAATTGTTAAGTGATACCTCCTAGATGTAGTAACATTTTTTAAAAGGGCAGACTTGAGGAAGAAAAGAGAGGGACCTTCACACACACATTGTCATCTCCTCCAAACCTGTACAAGGAGTCAGTGATGACTTGGGAACCGCCTCTGAAAGTTTGCCAGTCATGGACAGAGTCCCTTTACATCCTCTACTTTGAAAGCTTTCCTACAAATGTCTTTGAACTTCCAAACAACCTAAAAGGCAGGTAAAGGATTATTATCACCAGCTTATCAAGGATGATGCTAAGTTCCAAGAGGTTAAATGAGTCCCCAAAGGTCACATAGCTGGTTGGTGTCAGCCTAGACGGCAGCAATCCTGGCACTGCAAGCTCTCAAAATAAATTATTTTTCCCACCACAGAGACGGTTCTCAAATTTCATCCCTGGAAACTGATGGCCGCATGACACTTTCCATGAATGTCCTCCTATCTCTAATTACCTGCCTTGTTCAATCCAAATGAGTTCTAGAATATAAAACCTAGCTTTTTCAGCTGTCTCTAATATACAGGAATATAATAAGGGTACTTTTGTTCTATCATATAATATTTCTATCAGTTGGTTAAATGATATTACATTGAGCTCAAGGTTGTACTAACCCTAGACTAAGAGGATACTTTAAAAATCTAAAAAGGAACAGGAAAAAAAAAGCACAAAAGAACCTAAAACTTACACTCCAGCCTCCCATTTGGGAAATACCCTTTCAAACTATTCTAAGGCTGAGTGTGGTGGCTCTCACCTGTAATCCCAACACTTTGGGAAGCTCAGACGAGAGGACCACTTGAGGCCAAGAGTTCAAGACCAGCCTGAACAACATAGGGAGACCCCCATCTCTACCAAAAATAAAAAATTGGCCAAGGATGGTGTGCACACCCACAGTCCTAGCTACTTGGGAGGCTAAGATGGGACGATCGCTTAAGTCCAAGAGGTCAAGGCTACAGTAAGCCATGATCATGCCACTGCACTCCAGCCTGGGTCACAGAATGAGACCCTGTCTCTAAATAAATAAGTAAGTACTCTATTTTAAACAATTTTGTTCTTAAACCACAGCTTCTGCTGTCATATTGGGAATCGTGGCTATCAGAGAAAGGAGATGAACATTGTGTGTTGGCAATGAGATCTTCCATGGAAGCATTTAGAAGAAATGTTATTAGGTTTGTCATGCTGGGAAGTTTTCCTACTGCTCTGTTACAGCATTAAAACCTGGAGGGCATCATTCATCACTCAGCATGAGATACATAAAACTACCCCCAGAGCACAGATCACCAAGTGTTCTTCCAAAGACCCTGTTTCAAACTAAAGGAGTGAAAAGTTTTCAAGTCATGTTTCTTAGCCAAAGCAGTCACCAGTGTTGCTTTTTGTGTAGGCTTCCAGTGTGCACACCTCTGCCAACACCACACAACCCTAGCAATGCCCTCCATTCTCAACGACAATCCACAGCTGCCCTCTGTCGCCAGGATAAAGTCCACATCCCGCAACCTAGTATACAACTCTTCATGGCACAGTCCAAGGACATCTTTCCAGCCCATGCCTGACACTTTTCTGTGTGTTTCACACAGATTCAAGTATCGCCTATTTCTCAAAAACACCCTAAACTTCCCTGCTGCTTTATCTGTTCAAATCGCTTCTTTCACCTGGAATGTTCTGTCCCTTTTCTATTTATCCAATTCCCACTCAGTGTCAAAGCCCAGCTCAAAAACTTGCTTTTGCAGTTTTTTTGCTAATGCAGCAAATTGTTCATGATAGGTGCTCAATAAATTTAGTCAGGTGAATAAACAGAGAAATCTCATGCATCCACTCCACAGTCTTATGAGGCAGGAAGGCACAGTAGAGTCTTCCTGGCAGACCTACCCAATGTCAGTCATGAATCAGTAGGATGTTAGCAAGAACACTAGAAATTTTGCAGTTTGCTTGTTGCAACTTGTCCATTTTCCCCCATCTATGACCCAGGGGCTTACACCTCTTGCTGTAGTTGAAGGTATAATGCATATGCCCTATACTAAGACATAAAGTTTTTGTCTTTTGAGTCACAAAGTTTTGAGGTATTAATAATACAAACTTTTTTCCTAGAAGATTGTTCTTCTTACAAGATTGCATGCTTTAGAGGTAGTTAAAAAAAGCAAATCCCAAATAAATAGTTGAGATCCCAAATGGAAAACAGATGCCCGTCCTATACAGAGATGGCCAGATTGTCCTTGATTCACAGAGCATATCCGGTGTGGCAGTGTTAGCGAACAAGTGAGCTTGCGGTTCCTCTGGTGTCCTCCTCCCTAACTAAGTGGGTGCCTGTGGAGTGTGACTGGAGAGCTGACCAAATGCAATCCACCCAGCAGGGTCACCAAGGCCACTGAAGTGTGAGTCTGCATTTCTCAAGTCAATGTAATAGAATCTGAGCCTTGCACAGTGGAGGGTGGGTCAGAAGGCTATCTGGTAGCCAAGGGCGCTGCTGGGGCTTTAGAAAGACAGCACAACGCTGTAATCGGACACCGTCCTGGGACATTCAGCCAGTTAATCATCTCAGTCACCCATATTTTATTCATAAACATGAGGAACGACATTTTCTTTGGCTGTTCGCTTTGCCCTTTGAAGTTATACCAACATTATACTGTCCCAATGTTTTCCTTTATGTCACATAAAATGCACTGGTATAGGTAAAGCATGTTGTCACCAGAGATGTCAACACCAACACTGGACTGGGACTAGCTGGTTACTATTGCTTGCAGAGCTAGCATGATGAGCATTTGTAGTTCAAGCACAAAGATGTCAGTCGTTCTTCAAACCTCATTTAGGTTGTAAGTCCACAGAGATGTGTGACAAAGAACTATGTAATCTGAGACCAGAGTAGACCAAACTACCAAACAGTCTTATTGTCATCTTAATTATTCATTTTATGTCAGTCCTAAAGGAGATTTAAAATGGTAGGACTGGCTGAGTGTGGTGGCTCTCACCTGTAAACCCAGCACTTTAGGAGGCTGAGATGGGTGTTTCATTTGAGAACAGGAGTTCAAGACCAGCCTGGCCCACATGGTGAAACTCAGTCTCTACTAAAAATACAAAAATTGGATGGGCATGGTGGCACGCACCTGTAATCCTAGCTACTGGGGAGGCTGAGGCATGAGAGTTGCTTGAACCTGGGAGGCAGAGGTTGCAGTGAGCCAAGATCACACCACTACACTCCAGCCTGGGGGAAAGAGTAAGACTCTGTCTTTAATTAATTAATTAATTAGGTGGTAGAATTATTTGTTTTATTTTTTAAATGGTAAAAATCAGCAGGAAATTCTTGGTAGCTAATCCATCAAACTTAATCACAAGGGGAGCCCAATCGCGATGCGAGTTCACCCTAACAGGATGAATATATTCTTTCCACAAGATCCCCATTTCTCTTTTTTTAACCCTAATTGTAAAGACATAAATGCAAAGACTTATCAGGAATATTTACAAATTACCTCTGGGCAAGGACTGTGTTTTACTCACTATTCTGCCATGGGCTCTAGCTCATCCCTTGACGCACGCACAGTAGGCTTTCCAGCAAAGTGATTAAGAGCCAGGGCTTGGAGCCAGACTTTCGAGTTTGCTCTCACTAGCTACTTGTTTAGTGAATCTCTCCAGCCCTCAGTTTCCTCATTTGTAAAGTGTAAATAATAATACCAATACCAACTCATCTAATTATTGTGATAACTGAATGAATCAATGCACAGGAGGTGCTTAGCTGGACCTTAGCATATAGTCAATAAATGTGAGCTGGTCATTGCACTCTCATGACTTTACCTACGATCCATTGTTAAGGGGGGGTTGATGGGTCCTAAGGAAATATGCCCTTAATTCATCTGTACTAAGGGAAAAAGAATATATATTAGATGATAGATAGATAGATAGATAGATAGATAGATAGATAGATAGATAGAGATAATTTTTTAATGTCCAACTCTCTAGATCAGTGATTCTCAAGGTATGATCTGGGGATATCTGGGGATTCCTAAGGACCCTCCAGAGAGTCCTGAAGGTCAAAAGTGTTTTCATAATAGCATAACATGTTATTTGCCTTTTTCATTCTCATTCTATCAAGCGTGTTCAGTGTAATTTTCCAGAGGCTACAAGATATGTGATGATATTATCACTTAGCAGTCAATGGAATGTGTGCTTATACATGCTTGTGTTTCAGACATTCCCCAGTTATACTTTTAAATACAGTAGAGAGTAACAGATATAATCCATATAAGCCAATCTCTTTGGGATATACAATAATTTTTAAGAGTTTAAATGGGGCTTGAGATCAAAAACTGTGAGAATCTCTGCTAGACTGTCTCAAGTCCCTAAGCTCCCATCTGAAAAGCTATAAGATAAAAATACCAAACTCATCTCTTAACTTTGAGACTCTGCCCCTAGAGCTAGGCCCCTGAAACTACTCTGCCTGGATCTTGTTGTGTGTTTCAGGCTGTCTGGGTCCGATTTTCCTGATGAGGAGTGGCTGTGGGATTATGAGAAGCATGGCCATCGGCATTCCATGATAAGAAGAGTCAAGCGGTTCCTGAGTGCCCACGAACACCCCTCCAGCCCCAGAAGAAGAAGCTATGGGAGGCAGACGAGTGACAGTTCCATGTTCTTACCCCGAGATGACCTCAGCCCAGCCAGGGATCTACTGGATGTGCCCTCAAGAAATCCCCACAGGACCTCACCCACCTGGAAGAAATCCTACTTCCCAGAAGGAAGCCCCACGCTGCACTCCAGCATAGGAGAGCTGTCCACCATCAGGGAGACCAGCCAGACAAGCACTTTACAGAGCCTGACCCCACAGTCCAGTGTGAGAACCTCCCCCATCAAAATGCCCACGGTGCCTGAGGTATTGGTCACAGCGGCCGAAGCACTAGGGTCCGCATCAGACGGCTACCACCATGACTCCGCTACATCCATCTTGAGCTCTGAGTTTACAGGGGTTGAGCCAAGCAAGACTGAGCAGCAGCAGGGCCCAGTGAGATCCATCCTGTCCCCTTTAGAGAAGGGGACACCTCCTAGAGGCCCCAGTCCCCAGACTGTTTCAGCCAGCACTGAGGGAAACATATTCAAGTGTGAAGGAGACCCTGGTGATACCTTTCTAAAAAGGTGGAGCCTTCCGGAATTCCTGGAGTCCAGCCACACCTCCCTGGGAAACCTAAGTCCAGACCCCACGAGCTCTCAGCCAGCTCTTTTAGTTGACACAGAAACATCCTCAGAGATCAGTGGGATCAACATTGTGGTGGGCTCTCGAGTCTCTCCTGATATGCTGTATTTAATGGAAAACCTGGACACCAAGGAAACAGATATCATAGAGCTGAACAACAAGGAAACTGAGGAACCACCCAAATGAGTGTCACAAAGTTCTAGGACCTGGTTCTAGCCTAGATTCTTATCTCCACAAAAGCAGCATTAATCCCAGGACATACCTGAAGGCTGGTCAACGTTTCTAAAACATGATCATACTGTATAAGCTACTGAGAACTCTGAAGGGCATTATGATCCTGACTTTTCAAGAACTGCAAAAAATCAAACACATTCGCGTCATCCATCACAACATGGCTTTCATCAGAAGTTACACAAACCGCAATGACTTAATCAAATAAGTCTTAACCAAATAAGGAATCTGGAAAATATACATGACTTATAAATTCATAGATTATTAGCTGTGAAAGAGTCTCATAGACCATAGTCCAATCCCCTAGACCTAAAGGTCCAGACACACAGGATTCTCTATTTCTCTTCTTTTTCTTTTTCTTTAGCCATAAAGAAAGGAGACAGATCAAAAAAAAAAAAAAAAGAAAGAAAGAAAGGAGATACATCACATAAATCACATAATGGCTGAAACACCCCCTCTTCCTTTTTTGTTTGAGGTTTTCTAACCTTCTCATTCCTACTCTCTATAACTATTATTATCATTATCATTTCCCAATTTTTAAGCTTTATCAGCACCAGAACATTTCATTCTCTTCAATTTCCTTTTCTACTTTTCTTTCTTTCCCCTTTTTTCTGTCATCCATTTTTTCTTTTCCCTTCTATCTGGTTGTGCTTCTTTTCTAGTGACTCTAATCTGTCCCATTTTTCAGGTTAGAATATTTCTTCTTGCCAAATCTGTTGCTTACATCTTGCCATGAATTTCAAAATATAAGACACTGGCAAAGCCTCCTACAGAATCATCAAAGTGTCAACAAAGCCAACCTGATACCCTTCCAGCCTCACTTCCCGTGGAAGGCATATAGGAGTGATGGTTCTCCCCATGCCCTTCCAGCCACTGCCATTTCTTTCTGCTTCCACTCTTTGGTCTTGGGCACTGAGAAAAAGGAAGCCAAGAGAATATGAAACTTACATAGCCAAATGCTATGGAACCAATGAATAAGATGGCTCGCACCTGTTTAACTCGAACTCTTATGCAAAAATCCCAATCATGTTGCAACATGGGACCAGTTACTGTGTCTATCAGGTCATTTGGGAATGAGATAGGATACTGGAGCTGGGTGGCTAATGGGGTACAGGGCTGCATAATGGGGATCAGATGTTGGCTAACTCCTCCCAGGGAGCTCACGGGACAGCTGTTTGTCATGGGCTCCCAAGTGCCTAGAGGGCCATGCCTTAGGATTGCTGCCCTTACCATTTGTCATATGATGACACTTAACTACATATGGCTTTAGAAATAAAAGAACCCTCATAACCACCATTTATTGAGTGCTCAAATATTCCAGGCAGCAGCGTGTAAAGTTCACAGATGATCTCACTAATCCTCATAGGAATCTTATGAGATTGATATACTGTTATTTCCAGTTTAAAGACAAGAGGAAACAGGCTTTAGAGAAGTAAGGTATTTGCCTAAAATCACACAGCCAAGAAGTGTTCACATTCAAACCCAGGTTTATCTGACTCAAGAGCCCACACTCTTAACCTCTATGCTTTCTCAGTGCCCTATGCTCCCTGTAAGGCCCTGAATCTGCCAGCAATTTGCCCAGCATTCTGGAGGATGCCGCAAGGGAGCCATGCCCAAATCACAAGTTCAGGCTAAATCTCTCCAGCCTCAAAAGCCCCCCGCTCAAGTCTACATGCATCTTTTATGCATTCATAAAGGAGGGCATTGCTCAGGCTTGGAGTACCAGCCATAGTCCTCTTCATTTTTCATGACAGAAGAAAGTTGGCAGGATACTCCTCCCCTTCCCCAACTCCTCCTGATACACAGTGTTAAAATTAGCATATTTTCAGGCCAGGTACGGTGGCTCACACCTGTAAACCCAGCACTTTGGGAGGCCGACGCAGGTGGATCACAAGGTCAGGAGTCCAAGACCAGCCTGACCAACATGGTGAAACCCCGTCTCTACTAAAAATACAAAAATTAGGCAGGTGTGGTGGTGTGCGCCTGTAATCCCAGCTACTCAGGAGGCTGAGGCAGGAGAATCACTTGAACCCGGGAGGCAGATTGTGCCATTGTACTCTAGCCTGGGAGACAGAGCGAGACTCAACAACAACAAAAATAGCACATTTTCACAAGACCTCATTATCTCCCTTACATGGCCCAGTGGCTTCATCTTTTGGCCTTGCCCATTCCAAGCACAGGCTCAACTTTCTTCTACATTAAATGTAATCTGAAAGCCAGAGAGTGCGGTGAGGCCAAGCTCTATTTGCTGCGTTCCCTCCCTGCTTTGTAGAGACAACTCTGCCCTGAAGCTGGGGTCTGCAGTTCAGTAAAGAAATGGGCCACTAACTTTTTCTCTATTTTCCAAGCATTTAGAGATGGCTGGCCCCCAGCAAAACAAAGGCTGTTATCTTCCCTTCCTTTATTGCCCTGACTACTTCACACCACTCCAGGCATCCGCTTTCAGCCTGGTTCAGCTAAGCCACGGAAAACATTTTAAATGGAATGGAGAAATGTAAAATTCGCCATTAAAGTAAAGATTTGCTTAAATCTTAAAGACACACCTCTTCTTTTTAGTGTTTCCCCTCAAACTTCCTTCCTCTCCAGGTAAATCGATTAAATTTTTGTTCCTTTTTTTTTTTTTTTTAAAGATAAGGTCTCACTATGTTGCCCAGGCTGGTCTCAAACTCCTGGCCTCAGGCAATTCTCTCTCCTCGGCCTCCCAAAGTGCTGGGATTACAGGTATGAGCCACCACACCCTGCCTGATTCCATTTTTAATCATTTTTTGAGATCTTATTGTCATAAAATCTACTCTGAGAATCTACTGAGCCCAGGTGGCCATGTGTTATAATGAAATTAGGAAAACCAGCATTTCCCTTTATGAACTTGAACAAGTCCCTGTTCTTCCGAATTTCTTATTCTCACCTATAACATGGGCTCTTTTCTGGCTCATTTCCCTGGGCTACTGTGAGGTGTCGTGAGAAAAGGCTGGGCACGCAGCAACACCATATGAATGGCAAGCATGGTGGGGATGAATGCTCCCATGGATTCACCATGAACCTCAGAAAAAGACCTTCTTCTCGTCCTCATGTAGTCACTTTGTCAGGATCCCCTTGTTCTCCAGGGTTCTAACCTCTTTCATTCAGGCAGCTTTTCTACTTTCTTCTTTTAGAGACCGTTCTGCTATGTTGCCCAAGTTGGTCTTGAACTCCTTAGATCAAGAGATCCACCTGTCTTAGCCTCGAGAAGCTGGGGCTGCCGACACGTGCCACTGTACCTGGCTCAGAAAGCTCTTCTTCTAAGACGCACACCATTAAGCTTCCTACTTATTAATCTAGTCATTTCTCTTTTCACTTTTTTTTTCTTTCATATGCTTTGGAGCTCCTCCTACATCCTCCTTCTCCGCAGCATTTTCTGTCATAGTTCTTCATACTCCACCATATCCCACACCTCCTCACCACGGCAGTGAGTTCCCCCTCTAACCCATTATGTGTCTCCATCTCCTCAATCAAAACATGCAGCTAGAGAAAAGCAGTTCCTTCTGTCTTCTCCACTATCAATCTAGAGGATTTACAACCTCTGGTTCAAAGTTAGAAGACCCTCCTGAGGGATCTAACCGCCCTAAACCTGGTCCTAGATCAGTTAATTAGAAAGAGTAACTACAACTGTAAAACCTCCTAAGAGAACACTGAAACCTAATTCCCCCTGCCCTCCCTCATCACAATCATTTACATGATCAACAACTAGCATTTTCTGATGTGCTGGGCTATTAACAGTAACAACCAAGGGCTTCCTCATTTCGTCTTGTTGAGCTGTGTCAGATAGGGCCTCAATACTTTTACACGTTTTTTGTTTTTTTTAGTTCTATGGACCTTAATTTTTAGGACACGCTTTTCCATTCATATGGCCACTGATTCAAAAGAACCAATTCAAGAATACCAGGATCGTTCTGTTTTTGAAAATCTTACAAAACCCAGAAAAAAGACTCTTATTCACTGGCAAAGCTTGAGAGACAGAACCCTAACAAACATTCACCTCTCTCGAAGCTCTCTCTTCATCACCTCCACCTGTGCAGCCAGCGCATACCCGGCCATGGCAAATGGAAAAGGAACCAATTTCCCTGTAAAATAGAGACCCAAAAACCACATGTGCCCAAATAATTAATTCAGTTTGGAGATTACATTTTTGTGTTTTGTTTTGTTTCTGCATTAATTCAGAAAGTGGGCTTAAACCTTCCTTTTGTCCCAGGTAGATTTGGCCAGGTGGTTACCTAGAATCATCTTCTCTGACCTTCTAATTTAAGACATTTGCCAGAAGCAGCAAAGGGAATGTTACAGCTTGTATCCTGAAAACAAATAAGAACGTTTCTAAAATGGGTTTTGCACAGAAGTGCCGTTGTGTTCCAGGTTCTTTGTCTTGGCCAGCGGCTCTCAGCCAGAGATGGCTTTGCACCCAGAAGATATTTGACGATGTCTGGAGATAATTTTAGTTGTCATGCTGGGGAATATTTCTGGCATCTAGTGAGTAGAGGCCAGAAATGCTGCTAAACATCCTACGATGCACAGGACAGACATCCACAACTATTTGGCCCAATATACCAAGTTTGAGAAACCTGATTTAGGCCAATAAGAAGGTAAAACTGAGACAACCCCCAAGGAGATTAGTGATGAGAGACGAGCTAGAGAAAGAAATAGAACTAGAAGAGAACAGATTAGCCCAGCAACAGGCTAAATTCCTATTCTGTGTACAAGCTGTGAAATAATTACCATTTCTCCCTTGATGCTAGAGGATCTGATATCTCAAATTCAGAAAAATCAAATTTGAACCCTGAGGTTCATGCTTAGATTCTTTGAATGGCTCCTACCACTAAGAGTAGCTAATGCCATTGCTGGCATGACTGCAATTACCCGAGATCATAGTTTATATAAAGAGGGACAGTAGATCGGGCACAGTGGCTCATGCCTGTAATCCCAGCACTTTGGGAGGCCAAGGCGGGCGGGTCACTTGAGGTCAGGAGTTTGAGACCAGCCTGGCTAACATGGCAAAATCCCATCTCTACTAAAAAAATACAAAGGGAGGTTGGGAGGGACAGAACTTCCCAAACAATAAGCTCTAACAGAATGCCTGACACTCAATAGTTGTTCAGTGTTTCATGAATAACTATGAATAAAAGTCCATCTGGTGACATCATCCAGGATTTCACCAATTCCCTGATGTTATTCTCCTGGAAGTCTGAGACAGAGGAATCTGAGTTTGCTTGGCTCGTGGGAAGGTGGTAAACTGACCCCATCCATTGTAACTGTTTTCTACTAAAAAGTCCTTTCTAAAATAAAAAGCCAAATTACATGTCTAGAAGATACAGTTTGTTCAGTCCTAAGAAAGACATATATAAAAGCTGAAGCTATAGATCAGTTGTCTTTCCACAGTTTAGCAGTTTATTGGCATAAGTTCTTAAATAATATTAGGAAGAATATATTATTATTATTGTTACTATTTGAGACAGACTTGCTCTGCTGCCCAGGCTGCAGTACAGTGGAATGATCTCAGTTCACTGCAACCTCCGCCTTTCAGGTTCAAGTGATTCCCATGCCTCAGCTTCCCAAGTAGCTGAGATTACAAGTGTGCGCCACCATGCCTGGCTAATTTTCATATTTTTTAAGGAAACTTCTTCTGAAAATTGTCTTTTCAACTTTTTTTTTTTTTTTTTGAGATGGAGTCTTGCTCTGTCGCCAGGCTGGAGTGCAGTGGCACAAACTCGGCTCACTGCAACCTCCGCCTCCTGGATTCGAGCAATTCTTCTGCCTCAGCCTCCTGAGTAGCTGGGACCACAGGCACGTGCCACCATGCCCGGCTATTTTTTGTATTTTTAGTAGAGACGGGGTTTCACCATGTTGGCCAGGATGGTCTCGATCTCTTGACCTCATGATCCCCCCACCTCGGCCTCCCAAAGTGCTGGGATTACAGGCATGAGTCTTTTCAACTTTTTTGCTTTTTTATCTAACAGAGTTTCTATACTTTTCTTGGTTTGTTTTCAGGAGTTTCTTCTTTGTCTAGACTAATAATAGGTCCTTGTTGGTTTCAGACATTGCAGTGGTCTTTTCTGATCTTCTGTGCATCTGTTAAAAGTGTACATGGTAGGCTGGGCGTGGTGGCTCACACCTGTAATCCCAGCACTTTGGGAGGCCAAGGCAGGTGGATCACGAGGTCAAGAGATCGAGACCATCCTGGCCAACATGGTGAAACCCCATCTCTACTAAAAATACAAAAAAATTAGCTGGGCGTGGTGGCACGTGCCTTTAGTCCCAGCTACTTGGGA